GCAGCTAGGGGCCATAGTCTCAGTGGTTCCACCAGGCTCCATCGGACCAGCAAACCTGGTCCCCCTTTTTTTTTTCCCAAATTATTTTGAGTTTTGTTTCACATTGTTCCCCCTCTATATCCGGGATCTCCTACATAGATCACCCTCTGAGGGGATGACAGTAATTGACAGCGGTATCCGGGCACCATCTAGTTCTTCTGGTCTCATAGTCTTATAGGCTGAGGATTGCATGGTGTACCAGTCGCTAGGACTAATTGTTTCCATGAATCTTTGGTTTTCTTCATTCTTCTTTGCTCTGGACGAGGAGAGACCCATTGTTGCATCTAGATGGCTGCTTGCAAGCTTTTAAGATCCCAATCGCTACTCACCAAAGTAGGAGGTAGAACAATGTTTTGTATAGTATGTTATGCCAATTGAGCTTGATGTCCCCTGTGACTATGATCCCGAGCCCACAGGTTCAACCACTTGGTCCCTCTGGGTAGCTGGCTGTGACCAAGAAGTGACTAAAACCTTGTTCCTTGTCAGCTCTGCTGTACCCCTGGGAATTCTTACAGAATATACAAATACGTTTGTAGAACCATTGTCTGCCAACCCTGTACATGGTCTTGGTTACACTCCCTGCTACATAGACGTACCTAATAGTTCAGCCTGTCCATCCATCTGTCCACCCCTATACCCATGTTTGCTTTCACTGACAACGCAGTACTGTATGTGCACAGGGGTTCATCTTTGTTGTCTGTGCCTCCCATATACCTCTCTATGTCTTCCTCTTCCTCAGTGCCACCATATTGATCACTCACCTTTGGTACATCGCCCTTCTCTTCATCCAAATCAATACTTACCTCTACCTATCTAACAAAATTTCACTGTTTTTTAAAGCTATCAGAACAGGAAAGAATTCACGGAGTGCTTTTAAATCAATTCAGATTTATAATGAAACTTTTCCTAATGTAGTAAAGTTTAATGGTAAGTTCTTACATGTTATATTTTAATTCTTGATAGAATCATTTTTCTTCATGAAGTATGGAGGAAAAAAGAGAATATTTGGATATATAGAGGGGAGAAGGGAAAAGTCCTGTGTCTGTGTTATTACGCTCATTTCTCACTTGAATTAAAAGGATCTTAACTTTTTTTAGTTTGTAGCCAATGCAGGCATATGTCAGAGATACTGCTGTTCAGTTCTGGACCACCACGATAAACAAATGTCACAGTAAAGCCAATCACATGGAGGTTTTGGTCTCCCAGTGTGTATAAAAGTTATGTTCACGTTATACTGGGATCAGTTAAGTATGCAAGGTCTCCTAGTGTGTATAAAAGTTATGTTCACACTATACTGGGATCAGTTAAGTATGCAAGCGCATTTTGAAAAAGTTTGTAATATTGTGAGAATGACCAAAATGTGACATAGAGACATGAAGGGAGCACATACCATTAGAAAAATGGATAGGCCTGCTCCATACAAACTTGGCACAGACCTCCAGTGTCTCCCACAACAAGAAGAAGATACTGCAGTATCAGCAGGACACCACAAAGCGAAATGCAGTAAAATGAGGGATGCCTGCTGTGAGGTCTTAAGTTCTGGAGTTTGAACAGTAGTGGTGCTGGTGCGTATGCCCCTGTCCTTTGCACTTGCTACCGTCTGCATGTGGGTGGAGTTCTCCAGAGTGGTTATGTCATATAAAAGAATGGCAATTTCAATGTCTGTGGACAGGCTAAGAGTTCTTGAGCCTTCTTTGCAGCTGAAATCTGTCTCAGTGTCTTGCTTTAACATGTCCACAGAAGGGTGTGAAAGTGTGAAGTAAAAGGATGATTGCTGAGGGAGTGATTTTTAACACAAGTTGGAATAAATAAATCATGAAAGTTGTAGAAATTAAAGGGTTTCGTTTCTTAATCGACAGTCATGCCTTGCCCTGATCAGTGGGGTACGGAGTGGTGAGTTTGTGGCAGGGTTTCCGAGGAGTAGAACAGACTGCTTTGTTCTAAGAGTATTTGAACTAAGATGCATACGCACTTTGGTTTCACGGAAGACGTAAATGACAAACATTGCTTACTTTTTACTGACAGAAATCTTTTATGTTTGTTAAAAATGTCAGGCATTTCCCACCCACCCCATCATTTTCTAAATGAAGAATTTATATATGACAATCTCTTTCATTTTGTTATGTAACTTGGCGTGCTTCCTCAAATTCTCGCTGTTGTAATAGTCCAGAGGTTATGACTTTAAGCAGTCTCAGAGTAGGCATGGTGTTTATAGAGTCCTGCTTCATATTCGGTCTGTTGATGACCACATTTCCTTTATTTGTTGTCCTGGTGAAGCAGTTGAGATGCACAGACTAGATAGGGACACTAAGTGGAAGAAAGACCCCGAGGTCACTGGCCGACGGCCCCTCGCAGCCTTCGGTGGCGTCCTCTTCTCCGGACTCCTTGTCTTCTACTTTGTGCTTCGGCAACACCAACCAGCTGGTCTGATCTATTCTCTCGAGTGGGTCGCCAGGCCTTTCCCCCACGCCTCCCAAAGTCTGGGAGCTCCGCTGGAACCTGTCCGCATCCCAGCGACAGGCGCTTCCACCGACAGACGAAGGTGGCTGTGTGTGGGCTGCGTGGGCCAGGAATCACGCTCCAGTCTCCCGCCTGGAAAGAGAGAATTCTGCCACTGCGGCCCAGCGTCACTGTTTATTAAGTGCTGTGCGTTTGACTGTGACTCATAGCAACCCCTGTGACAGAGGAGAACCGTCCGAACTGCAGATTTTAGCATTAAGCCATCTGGTTTCTTCGTTGAGGGTCTCTGCTCATACTGGCCTCTCCTGTTAGGATATATCGAGTCCTCTCCTCATTGCCCAGCGACATCATCTTTGCTAGGAAGCCTTTCCATACACTGACCACCACACCAACCTGTGTCAGATGCCATGCCTGCTTTGGAACTGCCACAGAATGCTGTCAGTTATCTGTCTGTCTGTCTAGAGATCAGATCCCTCCCCTGTTGCTTCAGGCTTGTCTCATGGTGTATCTCACTCTACAAGAATGTAAGTTTCTCAAGAGTAAGTCCCAACTTGTCATCCTGGTCCTCGAATGCTAATGGGTGCTCAGAAAATGTTAAAGTGATGGATGTTTGGAGCGTGAAGTGAAGTGGGAAAGGAGCCCTTTCCGGTCCCTTCTGCCCACGTCCACTGCCGCTGTCCTGGAGCGGGTCACCTGCGTTTGCACTGGACCCGTTCACACTGTGTTTTACCTCTCTGCTGTTCTCCCTTTCAGTGCCAGCCTCATCTGTCTTCACACTGTAGCTGGGGCCCCCTTTCTAAATGTGAGATCTGATTGCGGCACCCCCCAGCTTCCCAGCAGTCTTCAGCTCCTTCTGATAGTTCCATATTTATCTTAGGAGAAGACAGAGCTCTTGAACATAGGTTACGACGATGATCTCAGTGTAGGTTCCAGCCTTCACCTTTGCATTTGTTCTTGTCACAGTCTATGTCTCACTGCTACTGAACGGGTCCCAAGCCTCTGCACATACTGTTCTCCTTGACTTGAATACTCCTTGCTTCTCCCCACTCCCACCCCAGTTCACCTATACAATTTCTGTTCATTCTCAGGCTTCAGCTTGAGAACCTTCTCTGACTACTCTTCTGTCCACAAGACTAAGTTAAAGACCTCTCTTCTGTTCTCACATAAGGAGCTCTGGTGGCACAGTGGTCAAGGCATTTGGCTGCTAACCAAAAGGTCAGCAGTTGAACCCACTAGCCGCCCTGCAGGAAATAGATGCGGCAGTCTGCTTCTGTAAAGATTTACAGCCTTGGAAACCCTGTAGGGCAGTTCTGTTTTGTCCTCTAGGGTTGCTATGAGTAGGTAGTACTCATGGCGGCAGGTCTGGGGTTCTTTTGTGTGTGCTCACGTAACACAGTGCTTACCCATATCACAGTTGCTGTCAGACTGTGCTGAACTTTAAGGGTGTCTGATCACACATTACATAGTGAGCTATGTTAACAGCAGCAGTCATACCTGAGATTCCTGCCAGGGACTACACAGAGTGCTTCCACGCGTGATTTCACTTTGTCCTCTCAAAAACTCTATGGGTCACAAATCACCTTATCTTCCAAGTGAGGAAAATGAGTCAAAGAGATTAAATACGTAAGTCAAAGAGCAGTAAATAGCACCCCAATTGTAGCCCAGGTCTTTCTGATAACACTGTGGTGTGGTACCTCATTGGAACTGTTTTCGTGGTCTACCATTGTGTCCCCAGCATCAGAACGATATATACATCGTGCTGTATTTATTCATGTACTATCAGTTCAATGAATGAAGGATCACTAAGACCAATACAAAGAAATAAGAAAGATTTGAAGGTCACGTTGGGCCTATAAGTGAATCCATCCTCATAGCAGTGAAATGAGGAAAACTCCTAGTTGTTGGTGACTTTTTAAACTCACAGAGAAGTAGACGAAGGAATGGAGACATGGGCCAGAGGAATGAATCTAAGGACAAGAAGGGTGACACTCTGTACAAAAAGATACATGTGAGGAGGGGTATTAGTTTAGTAATAAATTTATTGTCACCAGTATGACAAAATCAAAAGGCATTACCTCCCCACTTGTAACATCTTATCAATCTAGTATTTAGTACTAAAATAGCCAAGAAAAGATTAAAGATTTAGCAATGCAGTGAGTTACATCATTGGATATCTCTTCCTGCAACATTGGCTAAATACAGTAGTTTTCCTTTAGTGCTTCTTCCACCTGTAGCTCCAATTATTCGAAGTAGATAGATGGCAGTTGTGGCCATTTTTATAGATGACTTTGTAGAATACTTTTTAAAACACTTCTTAATAACCTGGGGAACAGGCTACCGTGAATAGATAATTCTATTTTTATAGACTAATCAATTTACTTTTAGCCTGAATTCATTTAATAAGCATTTTACACGGAAATTGTTTTATGGAACTGATTCATGCTATCTCCTTTCTGACAAAGCGTATAAACTCTAAACACGGGGCTGTGGTATTCACCCAGGAACATTTCACAGTCCTCAAGCTGAAGCTAACCCTCAGAGTTTGACTCAGATATACGCGTTGCCTGAAATTCCTCGAGATCAAAATGCCGCAGAATCCTGGGAAACCTTAGAAGCGGTATGTTAAAAATGATTTTCTTTTTGGTAGCTGTGAGGTGGAAAAGTAAGCAATTCCCTCTCTCTCTCTTTTTTTTAAGGACTTGGTGGAACTTAGCCAACTGGTCACTGAATTCTCCCTACTAGTGAATGTAAGTATGTAACTGTTTTTGGCTCAGAGTTGTTACAATATCAGAATGAGGCTTTTAGGTCTGGTAGCATAGTGGCTAAGACACTTGCCTGCTCACCAGAAGGCTGGAGGTTCAAACCCAGCAGCCACTCCTTGGAAGGAAAGTCGGGCAATCTACTTCTGTAGAGATACCGCCTCGGAAACCCAAGGAGGGGTCACTATGAGTCAGGTCTGACTCGACAGCAAACAACACCACAACAACAGGCTTTTATTAGAATTTTAACTAGAAGTTATCATTTTTAAGACTGGTATAGAAATCTCGTCCTCAAAATCCAGATCCATTCAATAAACGTTTGTTGAACGTTTGTTATGTGTTATGCGGCCCTGTAGTAGATGCTTGGCTTTGGGCATCTGACAAATTGGATGTAGAAAGAAACACTCTCTTCCTTCAAGGATTCGTGGGTGGAGATAGGCGTGGGCCTCCAAAACTGCAATTTCAAGCATGATTGGTAAATGCGGAGAACGAAGAAGAGAAATAGTCTCAGTTCCAGAGAAGTACTTGATTCCCGTGGAGGGAGGTGGGGTTGGGAAGCCTAACCGTAGTTTCCCATAGGAAGATAGCATTTGTACAAGCCTTGAAAATGAGTAAAATGTCCACAGGTGGTGCGGAGGGGTGGTTGTGGAGCAGAGGAACAAAGCCATGGAGTAGAGAAGTGTGGCCTGTTCAAGAATGACCAGTCCTTGAGTGTAAGCAGAGCATGGCGAAGCAGGGAGGGTGCAGGCCAGATTGTGTAGTCACTGGAAGCCGTAATAAAGAATTTGAACTTTGCTTTGTGGACACGAGGGCGGCAATGCAGAGTTTTGAGCAGCTCAGATGATGCAGACGGTCCGTGGTTCCTCTGTGAGCAGCCAGATAAAGCCTGGGGCGGGGGAATTACAGGCAGGAGGACCACAGGGTGAGCAACCATTAGCAAGGATTACCCCGGAGCAGTGGAGCACAGGTGGAAGGGCAAGGAACGGTTGAGAGGCCTTCCAGGGGTAGACTTAGCGCACACTGGCCACCCCAGAAGATGGAGGAGTCATAGATAAGGGTTTCTTCTGCACAGTGGGTAGCTAGTGATCCTGTTACCATAGGTTAGGGAGCACAAAGTAGATTGTGGTGGGAAAGATAAGATATATCTTTTATCATTTTTTCTCTAAACTTTTCTTACTTTCCCCTCCTAGGAATTATGGAAGGTAGGCTATGAATGAGTAGGTGTGTGTAGACTGTGTTTGTCCATATGTAAGAGCAAGCCTGGGTTGTCCACCTTTGAGTTACGGTTTCCTCAAACCACATCTCAGAATTGGGTTTGGGAAGACCTAGAGAGGTCAACTAATGTAATCCTGCTGTCCTCACCCGAACTTCCCAAATGGGTGGCTTTCTGGCCTCCTTTTGACAGTTGTGCAGGGAAACTTCAGCGGTTTTCACTAGAGGCTCTGATTCTCGAAGTTCTTACTAATGTGAGGCACACACTGTCTTCTGGTAACGTCCCTGGGACTTTGGAGCAAGGTTTGTCTTCGCTCCCATATAGAAGGTTTTCAGGGTCTGGAGACCGATGCCCTCTTTTCTTAGCCCACCCCTGTTGCCCTGCTTTCTTCTCTGAGAACCCTCGATTGATTTTCATAGGAACTGTCTGACATACGATTTCTAGGCTGAAATTTCAGTACCAGCCCGTTCTTCTGCCTGCGCTCCCGTTGGTGGTTGTTTTCATAAAACATGTCCCTAAATTTGAACACACTAAACTGTTTGAAGCATTTTCCTTTTCTGAGGTCTCTAAATCAGAAGAAATAAATTTAAGTCTCTGGATTGGGTGTCTGTACAATCTGTCAATATACAGTGGAGCCCATGAGAGCCAGGACTCAGTGGGACGGCCTGGTTTTTCCGGGTCTCACAAGTTTCCCACCTTTGACAGGGTACAGTCTTAGAACTTTCCTATCCTCTCCAGAGAGTTGGTGGAAAATGTTTGAGGTTTCCTTCTTGGACTAGTTTCTGCCTTACACAGATTCTGGCTTTCTCAGGCTTCACTGTATTTGCATAAAGAAGGCAGTAAATACACCATGGATCCCAAAATACCTGTTTTTTTAAATCAAGATTAATTTGATAATTATAACTAATGATCTTTGAATGTAATGTAATTTGTAAAATCGTACATGAATAGTTACCCAAACATAACATGTATGAAAGTCATTGATCTGCACAGTTAAAATGTGTTTTAATGTATGTAAATTATACCTTAATAACGTTGATTTTAAAAAGCAAACTAAGCACATACGAAGTTCTCCCCATCTAAGACAGATACACTTCCTTTTCAGTGGGGGGTAGGCGTATGAAAGTAAATTCAAACCATTTAACAGTTGTAAGTCCAGCTGGGTTCCTAGGCAGCTCTTCACCCCTACTCTAAGGAAGATTTGTGCAGGCACATCCGTGGCTCTATACAAATGTCCCATTTATAATAATCTGTGTAAGGACAGGAGACAGAGCGCTAGTAGGCAAAAGCTCAAAGGACAACCCTTGATTATTATTCCCAGAACGACTGAGTTCTCATGACCACATGGCCAGAGACTCACAGAAGCTTCATTTAGGTGCAGAATGATTTGGGAACTTAACCAGAGTGACCACATCCTCTCTTCATCATCACATGGACATGATAGTATCTGGCCAGTTAACCATGTATTTAATGTATCACTTTCGATGTGCTAAGCTCAATGAAGAAGGTTGTTGTTGATACGTGCCGTCGGAGTGATTCATAGCGACCCCTCCTTGGGTTGCCGAGGCAGTATCGCTACAGAAGTAGATTGCCCAGCCTTCCTTCTGAGGAGTGGCTGGTCGGTTTGAACCGCCAGCCTTCTGGTTAGCAGTCAAGTGCCTTAGGCACTATGCTCAATGAAGAATAGAGAATAGTATTGAAAAAGACCCTATAAAGCCGTTGAGCGGTCCAGACGTGGTCCGGTAAACGTTGGTAAATTAACGAACACAGCATACCTGCTCCATTTCCTTCGACCCTTAACTCAGGAACCCTCTTCCTTTCCTGTAACTTGGAACCAGCCCTATTTCTCATCAAGGGGATGGAAAGAGTGCTGGGCCGGGGGCCCGCCCACATGCTCTAGCTGCTGGTCCTGCTTTGTTTCCTGCCTTTTGCCTTACTCCCTTTGTAATCAAGTTTTACTCCGGATGCATAAAAACTGGTTTCTCGTGGAATCAGATAGATTGCTTCATTTGACATGTGGGCCCTCAAGGTGTTATTTGACAACACTGAGCCTCTTGAAACTGATGGGAGGGCTCCAGGAGATAATGTCATCACTTCCCTCCCTTCCCTTGCACTGGTCCCAGCTGTATTCCTGCTCTGTCCCTCCCTTGTTGGGTTCGCTCTTTGGTTCTTTGTGTAGTTCTGCCAGCACATCGCCTTTAGGCATTTTAGTGCCGCCGTGCCTTCAGTCCCTTCCTGCTGCTCAGTCCCCTGATGCCACATCCTGCCGCCAGACTCTGCTTGTTGCTACTCGAGTCCCACCATGCACTCGGCCTGTATGCCATGTGTCTGCATGTTTGTTTCTGGGCTTTTCTGTGGCTGTGGCTGCACATGACCGAGGCATGTCACATGCGTTCAGAACCAGTGTGAACTGCTAGACACTTAGAAGGATCGCTGGGCTTTCGAGTCAGGAATAAAGGTGAAAATGCAGAGTTTGGCATTAGCTTCTTAAGAACCTCATAAGTCTCAATCACATTTAATAAAACTGTAGAACTACTGGAAGCTCTGTGGGCCCCCCTCCAAACACACACACACACACATACACACACACAAAGGAGAGAGTTGTACTAGTGATGTCAGCGGATTTGGGCATGGATTCCTGGAGAGCATTACTCTGCTTGGTGTAGAGGGTGCTGGGCCTGCAAGTATCCACAGCAAGCAGTCAAAGGAAGCACCCTCCTTCATTCGCCTGAAGTCAGCTGCCTGCAGGTGTTAACTTCATGAGCTATGTTTTCTTTAGAATGTTTTGTTGCTCCTACAACTGCTCCTTAAGATTCAGTCTTTTTTTTTTTTTTTAAGCCAGTAAGTCAACCACCTAATTCAGTGTTTCTTAAAATGAAATGAATAGATGTATTCTTTTGAGAATTTTTCCCTTTAAAAAGGGTTCTATACAGAGCTCTGGGAGCACAGTGCCTAAGACATTTGACTGCTAACCAGAAGGTTGGTGGTTTGGACCCATCCGCCACTCTGCAGAAGCAAGACTGGGCAATCTACTTCCGTAAAGATTCATTGCCTCAGAAACCCAGTGGGGTCACTGTGAGTCAGAATTGACTTGACGGCAATGGGTTGGGTTTGTTTTTTGTACGTTACTGTAGTTTCAGAAAACTGCAGTGTCCCTCATGAATGGTTTAACTCACGGTGAAAGGGATACTGAGAACGTACATGGGGTGCAAATGTATAAAATATCAGGAAGGAACTTTGAAAGTTGTTGAATCTGGGAGCCCCGGCAGATGAAAACAGACATAAGCAAATTGGGAGGAAAAAGAAGTGGTTGGTGGATATGAGCAACGAGGCTCCTGAGCGGTCGTTGTCGTTAGGAGCTTGGTTCCATGGATGGGGTGGTGTGGTGCCTGGGTGGTTTGGCCCAGCATCAAGAGCCAATGGTGGACAAGTGGGGACAGAGTGAGCTGTGGACAGAGTGTAGTTTGGCGTTCTGCTGGCGGTGACGGACAGCTCTGACACCAGCTTGCTGCCTGACTGTAGTCATTGTGGCTGTCATGGGGCTCCTTACTCAAGACGCAGGGTTTGAAGATAGGGGTAGAGTCTGAGGGGTCAGATGAAACCAAAGATGGTTCAGGAGGAAGACAGATCTGCACAACTGAGGGCTGATGGTCCCAGAATAGGGGCTCTTGGCTTCCAGCTTCCTCCCCGTGCCTCCTGGTAGCCATGAACAGGTACTAACAGTACGGGCTCCTCCCCAGGTGAGACAGGGCTCCTCCGTTGCCGGGGATTGCAGTGGTGGACGCCCGCCTTAGTTCTCTAATGCTGCTGTAACAGAAATACCATCAGTGGGTGGCTTGCAGGCCCAGCACCCTCTACACCAAGCAGAGTAATGCTCTTCAGAACTCAATTTTCTCACAGGTTAGGAGGCTACAGTCAGAATTCAGGGCGGTGGTGCAGGGGAAGGCTTTCTCTCTCTCTCCCAGAGGGAGGTCGTCTTTGACCTGCTCCTGGGAGACCCTCATGTGGCTTCACATCTCTCTTTCCCCCATCATTACTTCTCTTGTCTATTTAATCTCTTTTCTATCTCAAAAGAGTTTAACTGAAGATCTACCCTATACTAATCTGCCTCACTAACATAACAAAGACAGCCCGGTCCCAAATAAGATTATGATTTACATAATAGTAGTTATGATTACAGGCACATATTCAGTATGTCTGGGTGTGGCCTAAAAGTGTGCATTTCTAACAAGTTGTCTGGTGATGCTGATGTTGCCCTTCTGTGATTCTTACATTTTAAAAACCACTCCAAACCAAACTCACTGCCATCAAGTCGAGTCGCTTCCAACTCATAGTGACCCAGTTGGATTTCCAAGGCTGTAAGGAAGGTTGGGCAATCCTACTTCCGTAGTGATACTGTCTCAGAAACCCAAGGAGGGGTCGCTATGAGTCGGGGCCGACTCGACGGCACATAACAACAACAACAACAACAACAAATCTTTACAGAAGCAGTGTTTTGGGTACCTAGTACCACTCTGACAGGAGTATACCACAAATACGGGTGGCTTGAAGAAACAGGAGTTTATTCTTTTACAGTTTGGAGGCTTTACGTCCGAGTTCAGTGTGCCGGGCTCTAGGGCCTGGGTGAAAGCCCCTCGACCTTGGGCTTCAGCTCTGCCTCCTGCTCCCAGCCCACTGGAGCTAGAAGCATCTCTTCACTCAGGCAGCTGCTGGCTGCTGAGGCTGACAAGCCCAAGGTTGACCAAAAGGCACAGATCTAATGTTACCAAACCACACAGCAGGCCACAAATTCAAGTCCATTGTAAGTCCCAAGGTCGGCAAAGCATAGCAGGCTGCTGAACAACAGCCCAGCTACATGCAGGGTTCAAGCGTACCATAAGCTAGAGACCATTCCCAAAGCTGTTTCTTATATATGGGAAACAGACCACATACCCAAAGCAGCTACTTAGCTGCTCCAATAGATTCCACTATGGAATTAATTACCAGTCTCACCATGGGGAATAACTACATTCAGCTGCCCAGCCAGTCAGCCAGGCCCAGCCAAGTTGACACACAAACTTAACCCCCACAAGCAGTCTGCCACATGTGTACCCCACAGAGCAGGTGGTGGGTTTGAACAGTCAGCGGTTAGCAGCTGAACACTTTAACCACTGTATCCCCAGGGCTCGGTTCATGTGTTTGTCACCTTATCATGCTGTGAGTCAGAATTGACTGAATGGCAGTGGGTTTTTTTAAACAATCATACCATACCCTTAAAAAAGGAGCTTTGGTGGCATAGTGGATAAGGCGTTTAGCTGTTAACCTGAAGGCCAGCGGTTCAAACCCACCAGCTATACCACAGAAGGAAGATGGGGCGATCTACTTCCACAAAGATTTACAGCCTCAGAAACCCAGTGGGGGTCGCTATGAGTGAGAATTGACTCAAAGGCAGTGAGTTAGTTATACCCTTAAAATGGGTGCATATTATTGTATGTGAATTCTCTGTATATATTTACATAAAGCTGTGCTCCTGTGGGAAGTCCTGAGTGCAGTCATGGAGGTGGTTGAGCAGAGGTTCGGTGACCTTGGCAGAAGCGTTGTGGTTCCACACACCTGAGAGCAAGGCCTCGCTCAGCAGCTTGGCGGCCGTTCCTTCTGCCTGCAGCTTCCAGCGTCACCGTTCTGTTGTGTCCGCGCAGGTGCTGCCATTGCAGGGAGATGCCTTGTGCGCATGTATTTGGTCTGCAACATTTTAACTCGTCATGATCTTAAAGTGTGTTAAAGCGTCCAGATGTAAAACCCAGGGCAGTGAGTTCATCCGTTGCTCCCTGGTGTGTATCAGGGGTGGGAGGATCTCCTGGAGGGCCCAGCCATATTGTATCCTTAGTCCTAAACCATAACAACTGGCATTCATTGCACAGGGCATTTTACTCCTAAGGTAAATGTGTCTGTTTCCAACTGAATCTTCAAAGATCAGTTATGTTTTTTTCCATCAAACCCAGCATGATGTGTACACTCTTGTTTTCATTCTTTTTTTTCCCTCTCCTCCTGGAAAGTGGATTCATTTGCAGGATGATGTGTCTGTATGGGCGAATGAATTTTAGTACAAGGTGCTTTTTGCTTTAGAGGTACCACTGTTTTATTACCTAATAATTAAGTCCCCCTCTTTTTTTCATAGAAGTAGATTTGTACTTTTGACATGGTTCATTAGATGCTATTAATGAACCAGTACTAAGACTGCGAGGCTGCAGTGCCTGGGCCTGGTGACAGGAACTGAAGTGCTGTGTATTGGCTCACAGCTGCTCCTCAGCAGGAGTGCTCACGCCTAATTCCTTTGCATCTAGTCTCAGCAGGAGAAGATTGACAGCATCGAAGACCATGTCAACACGGCTGCTGTGAATGTTGAAGAGGGAACCAAAAACTTGGGGAAGGTAAGACTCCGCTCCTGCTGATCCATCAATGCTCGTCCGGCTCCCAGGAATCTCTAGTATTAACCTGATTGATCTGCTCCCTTTAATGTTGAGAGAACCAGCAATTAAGGAAATAAGGAAGAAATGACACATAGGTAGAGGCAGCAATCAATGGCGCTTGTAAGAGTGTACTCTAAGATTCATTCTGTCCAGAGAGACGTTTTTTTAAGGAGAATCAACGGACGCCCTGCTCTGAGGCATTTGATGCTGCAAGGGAGCATTTGCAGAGGTTTAGGGAGAGGAGTGAGTGGTTTGCTAGGGTCCAGTCGGAGCAGCTGTGGAAGGGCCGGGCAGCAGGCAAGGGGTGTGGGTCTCTGTCTCGCTGCACAGAATGCTGCTCTTAACCCCCATGCACAGCCAGTCATCTCTGGGTGACATGAAAGCTTTAGGGGTATCGGTGGCTGTGGACAGTGTTTAAACAAGTCAGGTAGATAGATAGTGGATTGATTGTTCTGCGAGGGAAATCCATTTGTAGTGGTCCACCCTCTGTGGTGCGTGTCTCTGAGTTCTGAGATCGGCAGCGATTGAAGGGCCTGTGGCATGCTTTCTTCTCCCGCAAGTTCAATCTCTAAGGCTAATTAGGTACCAGGAGTTAAAGAGTCACGGCCAGGAGTAATGAGAGGAAAATGCACATCACCACAGGCAGATGTCCTCAACTCAATTTCTAAATTGAATTTTTTTTTTTTCCCCCTGTTCTTTTACAGGCTGCAAAATACAAGCTGGCAGCTCTGCCCGTGGCAGGTGCACTCATCGGGGGAGTGGTAGGGGGTCCGATTGGCCTCCTCGCAGGCTTCAAAGTAGCAGGAATTGCAGCTGCACTTGGTGGTGGGGTGTTGGGCTTCACAGGTGGAAAGTTGATACAAAGAAAGAAACAGAAAATGATGGAGAAGCTCACTTCCAGCTGTCCAGATCTTCCCAGCCAAACTGACAAAAAACAGAGTTAAAAAATCAAACTTCAGTGTCAACTCGTCTGTCGTAATGATGGCCTTTGCTGCTGATCGACACTCAGTCAACTTCTGAAACACCAGTATATCACATACTGGCTGTAGGTGACTGAACTCTGATCATTAGATATGTCTTGTTGTTTGCTGGGTACTTAGTCTAGATGTGGAGATCAAGGAACTGGGGGTAGAGTTTGAAGACTGCCAAGGAGCGTACTTTCCACCTGTCCGTGTGAAAACTGACCTGTCATTCTGATGGGGACTGGGGCTGAGAGGAGATACTGGGTTACAGAGGAACAGTTGCTTCCATGATGCAAACTTGGAGACCCCAAGGCCAAGCATATTGGTAGGTGGTCCTTTAGGCCTGTTAGCAAGGAGAACAGGAGTTGGAAAACCGTTCTTACCAGATCGAGAAATCAGGGTCTAGTTGGGTAAGGGCACAAGTGAACTTGATAACGGGGTCCAGTTGGTGAACCTTCTAGCATTTGGTGAACCCCCCAATTTCTGGTTAAGAGAATTCATAGTGTAAGACAATAGAAAGGGAAGCCACCTTTGCTTCCAGATGTTTCCGTGGTGACACCAGCTGTTCTGAACCCTTCCTTCTGCTTCTCTTTAAATAAAAACCCGAATGTCACGTGGTAGGAGGCGCAGTCAGCAGGTGAGCTTGCTGCAGCCTGTCTCCACCTGCCTCAAAGACTCGGCGCTTTTTGCCTCTCCTCCCTTGTGATTTGGAAAAGGGCTTTGGTTGGGGTGACTTCTCCCTCGTGCAACGAGGACCTCTTTCACATCTGCCTTTTTGTATTGTCTCCATTTCTGCCCATCCTTTCCAGTAACGTCGAGGCTGGAAAAGAATAATAATCCCCAGGTGTTTGCAGTGTTAGATTCGGGGCAGAAAATGGGCAGAGGAAAGGCTATCATTTCCTGGAGCATCTTCCAGTGTCAAGGGGCCGCTGTTCCTGCTGCACGGAGGTCCCGACCATAGCCTTCTTCTCGGCTGGCCTTGGGGGGCTAAGAACTAGCTTTCCGCGCCGACTCCTGTGCTTTCCCAGCGTTGCTGTCCATCCCTTCTCTCAGCTGCTCGCTCTTCCCAGGGGTGACATTCTTGCCTGCCTTCCTTCACAGTCAAAGGCGGACTCAGCCCTGGGGCAGAGCTCAGTCCTGATGGAGGACTGGTGGTGCTGATTTCGACCTTGACACCGACAGCAAGGATGGCCCAGCCCAACCCAATGTCCAACTCCAGCAGTTGCAGGTTTGAAACCTAGAGGAAAGTATTTCGGATTGCAGACAGCCTGACCCGCTGTCCCCAGCTCACTGGAAGTGGGAAAGGACACCTCCTGCCTTACTTGGTTCCCCTTTGTGAGGACAGAGGAATGGGCACCTGTGTCCCCAAAGCGTGAGCTGTTTCTGCCCAGGAGCCAGACAGGTTCAACACAGTGTAGCACTTAACCGCTCCCTTGCTGAGTTTATTTTTAATAACTTTTATTGATTGCTACCTTTAGTTCTGTGTCAAATCTAAAGAGACCTTTCTCTTGGTACTTTTTTAATCTCATCAATAAATTCCAGTGAGACAGAGCCCATTCCTTGTTAGCATTAAAGAATCAGAGAGGAGCCAGCCTTGCTAGCGGCTGACTTGTGTCTTTCCTTCCAAGAAGGAAATCTTTTGAATCGATGTCTGAGTCTGATTGAGTATTTGCTTGTGAATGCCTCTACAGTTGGAATCGTTGGTTTGAGCCCCTCCATCTCCCAATCCTTGCTGTCTGTCTAAGGCAGGGTGCCCAGACCAGAATGAGCGTCATCTCCCCCAGGTGCTAGTTTCAAACAGGAGTCACACTCCAGTCCCTCAGGTGATCCTCCCATAGTCCATCCTGAGGAGTTAATCAGAAATTTACATCAGCCCTCAGCTGGGTCATCTAATTATGTGATTTCCAGAATCCAGCTCCTCAGTGCCACCCAGTTTTGATCCCTGCATGCTACAGTCCTCTCCCCTAAGTTGATCCCACCATCTCTGCCCCACTAAGGACCGCATCCCTATGATGCCAGGACGGGGTTACATTGGTATATGAAGGAGTGAGGAGGCCACCCTGGAACCTCACGTCTGTTGGGTTGCCCTTGTTACTGAGCCAGGGTGGGACCCACTGCAGGCACTCACGCGCTGCTCGTCAGGGTAGAATATCACTCTAGCAGCCTTCACATGTGTGCAAGTTATAAGCTTGAAAAAGTTCTGTAATTTAAAATTATTTAGAAATCATGTTGACTTTCTCCATAAAAAACCTAATAGCCAATTTTTGTAGAAATTGTTAGAAGTACTTAACTATAAATGATATGTCTATAAAGTATGAAGTGTTTAGAAGTATAAATTAGTCCAACTCAGAAACAAATCTTACCATTGAATATCATGTCCCATATATCAGATTAAATGTATCTTCTCTGTCCTTCATGCCCTGTTTTTACTGCAGGAAGTTAGGAGGTAAAGAACACTTTCAGTACTGTTTTAAATGAATTGGGGCTGCTGTGGGCAGAGGCCTTGGCTGACATCATCATCTGAGAGTTTCTCTGTGGAGCAGGAACAAACGTTTTGCCTGTAGCCCACAGTCAGAGATGTATTCCCGCAGCATATGTGGGGGGAACGGTGCTGACCCTGCCATGCGCGGTGCAGGGTGATGTTTTTATTCTGTTTCAATTTTTATACTGTGCTGGTTGTAATCCACTAAATTGATTTCATAACCTAATAAGGGCTGGCAGTCCTTAGGTTGAAAAAGAACAGAAAATTCAACCTTATAGAGAAACTGCTGTTCGTTGAAGATCTTTGCCAGGCACTTCACTCGACATTTGATGGGTGAGGAAACGGTCTCAGCGAAAGTCACTCATCTGCAGAGGGTTGTTCAGGTGAAAAGGGGAAAGAAAGCCAGGTCTGTGGAACTATGAAAACCTCTCTCTTTCTCTCTCTCCTACTCTGCCACCCTGGTTATCTGGGGGGTTACGCATTCTGCTTCACCCACCCAGCTCGTCTGTGAGGCGGGTTTATGTGGAAATTACTCCGACCATTCATTTTCACTAATTTTTTTAATCTTTTGATTCGTCACCAAGTATTTAATAGCTTCGAAGTTCGTAATGGTGGCCACAGCTGGAAGGCATAGAGCTTTGATCCTAGAGAACCACAACGTCCACCCCATCCTCCGTCCTCCAGATGTCCTGCTGTTCGCTGGTCGCAGCCTGCTCAGACGGTGCTTTGTACGGTAGGCTGAATCTGAAGCCACAGCTCTAAAGCAGTGCTTTTTAACACCGCTCATAATTCAGGGAGTGACATGCTTATCTTTTGAAGGACCCTCGGGAAGCCGTGCACTGCAGTAGTGCTGGCATTACTCAGTACATTTCTAAAATTTTCTTTTGGAATGGCCTCCCAGGATATTTTGCGAACCACGTAAGAGAAGCCATGTCCGTTTTTATTAGTCCCAGACTGCACTCCTTTGTCCTTATGACCTCGCCTCTCCTTCCTGGTTCTGCTTTCCCTCTTGGGGCTGAGCCTTCCTCCCCGGTCCTGGAGCCAGTGAGCGGCGGCTGTATGGAACTGGCCAGACTTCCTGGAGCAGGAACTTGAATCTGCACCGAAGCAGAGGGCCGGAAGGGGGAGTCCTCGGAGTCCAGGGACGCGCCTCGGGGCTGCAGCCCGCCATTAAGTGCTGGAGGTAGTTTGCAAGGAGTGTGGACGGTCACAGGAAGTGAGGAAGCCTGTGACGTAGTGCACGCTGCAGCGCGTCTTTCACCACCGAAAGCACAGAACTGAAATGTGCGTTCTGCTAATTTCAAGGTGAGACGGCTTTCTCAGGGGGCCCTCGGCCCTTCGTCGCTGCCACGCGGAATCTTTGCGACGGAGGCTGAAGGAAGGCCTGGGGCCGGTTCTCCTGGGACGAAATGACGTATCCACGTGTGAAGTAGAACGTGGCTGTGGCTCTCGGGTACTTGGGAGTTTACGTGATGTTCTTAGGTAATCATGCCTAGGGAACGTAGGGCGTGTCCCCCGAGGGGGACTTCTCAAAGCTCAGGTTCTGTGTGGATCATGTCTTTGCTGATGAGTCCCTCGGTTTCTGACAAGAGATTGTCATTATTTGTACTCATTAACGCAATACCCTCGTCACAGAGTAACTTCCTGGGGGTTATAAACAACCAGTGGTGAAGAATCCACATATGATCAACTTTGCGGCCTTCCAAGAAATTAGGTTATCGTGGGACACAAATACATCTGTGCAATATTAACAAAATAAATCAGTTGAGATAAAAATGTACAACGTGTAAAAGGCAGTTTGCCCAAGGTAACAGGGTGTAAGTTAGCACAAGAGCTGGGCTTGGTCTCAGAAGAAAAGAGCCTCCAAGTAAGTTAACTGGGTTTTTGTTATACCCTGTCAGTTGCCTTCTGAGGCATGTGGTCTCAGACCAGCCTGAACCTGCTGCACTGGAGAGAGAATCGGATGGGAGTCAGGAATTGGAGTTCCAGTTTGGGCTCTGCCTTTTGCCCTAAGCTTTTTCTCTTGGGTGGCTTGCCTTCTCCCTTCCGGCCAGGGCTCCCCCACCATAACTTTAGTGTCACCAACTTGAGTCTCTCCCTTGTTGTCTAGCCTCCCACGGGGCCCTGTCAGTTCTTTGAATGCTACTTCCATCCATTTCTAAATATTTTCCTGGCCATCATGCCGGTAAAAGACTTATTACCTCACACGTCCTACCTCATCTTCCCACCTACAAGCCATTTCTCCTGTCACTGCCACAAGACAGAACTAGGTCCCTCCTTCATTTTTCCGCAGAAAATTTTTGAGTGGTGCCCATTGAACACTGGGTAAACCTCAGCTCCCTTAGGTTGGCATTCACAGCCTTCCCCATTCTGGGCCCAGTCTCATCCCTTCAGGCTGCTCACACAGCATCAGGCCTCTCCCAGCCCCCTACTCAGCCATGACAGTACCACCAAAAAGCAGACAGCGCACAGGGGCAACTAACTGTAAGCTACAAACTAGTAAACAGTATGTTTCTGGGTAGATCATTTCTGTAATTCTTCATTTTACACAACTGTCTCGTGAGCTAA